TTGAGATGACTGGGGCCATCCAATGGAGAGTTCCAGAAGGGAGTTGTATGTTTAGGAGGGAGGCCAAGGAGAGCATCTGCCTGGAAATAGTTTAGACACCAGCAGTATCTCCATGTGGCAGCGGAAGCCGTAGGTCTGGTGTGGAGTATCATAGATGGGGCCAAGGTCAAGATCGAAGAGAGAAGAGGCATTCGGAGGAAGAGGACCCAAATGTGTGATTGAAGAGCTAAGGTATGAACCAGGAACAAGTGGCATCATAGAAGGTGAGGGAGTGAAGAGTTTCCAAAAACAGACAATGCTCAAGTGTATCAGATACCACCAGCCAGACAGCCTTCGGATGAGGCTTGAAAAGCAGCCACGGTTAATGGAAATGCAGGTTCCTGGAAACTACGGACCTGGATTCATAAGGTATAAGGCCAGGCCCAGGAATCTGAACTTTTTAAAAGTTGCCCCAGCAGGTGATTCTGACATTGGCGGTTCATGAACTATGTTTTTTGACAAGCATGGCCCTGAAGACGGGGCATTTCTTTTTCCACCTGCCCCAGGTTCTGGTTTCTTGTTAATGATCTACAGCCTCTCTCTGGGAGATCAACATATGAATGGCCAACCTTTCAGTTCACACCTTCACCCAAGGGCCTTACACACCTATGTGCAGACAGTGAATAGGTAAGAAAGCCATTTATGCCTGCCAGAAACACTTGTAAGTAAATATCAATACCTGTGAGTAATCCAATGAAGGAGGAGACTAGAATTAAAAAAATGGCTCTCAAATACATTTACATTGATCCTTCAGGACAAAGTGTAGGAGGAACATAGGGGAAAGAGTAGTAAACTCAGCTCAGAGGTGCTGGCTACGGCATTTCTGAGAAGGTGAACATTTGAGTTAGGTCTTGAAGGGTGAATAAAAGTCCAGGATACAAAGGAAGGGAAAAGGATTGCCGGCAGAGGAAGGGCAGGTGTGGAAGCACAGCGACATGAAGGAGCACAGTGGTTTTGGGAAAGGTGAGAACGGCACCGCGGCTGGAATAGAGGAAACGGGGTGGAGGAGAGGGTGTAGAAACAAGTGGAATAACAGTGAACCAAGTTGGAACGCTTCACTGGGCAGCCCTTTGGCGGGCCATCACCCTTAGGAATTTGGGCTTCATCTTAGAAGAAATGGAGAGCTCACGCAGTTTTCAAACAGGGACTTGTGAACTTGACAGCTAAGGGATATCAACAGTGGGAAGGCTGGCAGACCGCTCCCCATTCAGTTTCTCCAGCATCCAGCAGAAGAAGGATCTCTGCTAGAGAGAGAATCCTGGAATTCACATGGTACTCGCAGACACAGCTTTTGAGTTTGTTTCTCCTAAGCTATGGAATCTAAAGACTCCAGTTTGGGAAATGAAGCACGGGAAAGAGGAGCGAGATAAAGAGGGGGAGAAATCACACTCAACTCCAATTCCTCAAATGGAAAAAAGAAAGTATAATGTCTCTTTATTTTCACATGTATTTAAAATAATCGCAAAACATAAAGTTCAGTGTTTGCAGAGTGGGCTGGTGGAGGAGAACCATAAACGACCAAAGAACAACAAAGCAGAAAAAATAAGCAGAGGAGAAAGAATATAAAAACAGGAAGTCAGCAGGCAGCAGTTCCCCATGAGGTCATTGGCAAAGGCCCCGGGGGCCTCTTCTCTGCAGGTCATGGGTGGGGAAGGGAAAGCTGGGATGCAGGCCTTTTCTCAGAGCCGTGGACACCGAACAGGGCAGAACACAGGGTCAATGCCAGACACATCTGGAATTTTTCAAGAACTGTTTCTATGCGGGATAGGGGAGGGGTGATCTCAAGGTTGCCCAGCTGGAGGCAGAGAAGCCCAGTTCAAGGGTTCAAGTCAGGAGCTGAGCCCCCCACCCCACCCCAACCCCCAGCCCCATGGTCTGCCATTAAGGGGCTGTGTGACCTGCGGCAAGAGTCCCCACCTCTCTGGCCTGTTTCCTCATCTGGAATTCAGTATGATTGGCAAGGCGTCCATGCATGGGTGGCCAAGGGGCGTGTTGAAATCCACTGTGCACTCTGGTATGAGCTGACACCAGGAAGAAAAATAGTTTAACTTTTCCAATTTACACCAGAACATTGTTCTGCCAGCCAAACCCACAGCCTCTGGAGCTGGGCCACTCAGAGAGGTTCCTTTTTCTCCTTCTACATAGGAGTTTCATGTGCGAACAGTGGCACTGAAGTGAGCAGGTGTGGGGGCACAGAGAACCAGGTCGGAAAGAGAGGCTGAAGCCGCCCTGGGGAGAGTCTTGGATGCCATGATAAGGAGTTTAGACTTACTCTTGAAAGAAATGGAGAGCCAGATCTGCCTGCGGTCACTTGCCTGCCTCCAAGATCTTCTCCTGGCCACTTGCACAGTAGAGAGCCCCTGCCACCACTGTCACCCCACTTCCCAGCACAGCAGCCTGTCTCAGCTGGCCCGGGGGTGAGTGCTGGGTTTTGACATGACCTTCTTTATGTCTGCTGTGATGGGAAGGAGCTGAAACAGCCCCAGCACCCACTTCCACATCCAGCCTGACCTAGAGCCCCTGAGGCTGGCCCGGGTACACAACCCAAAGTAGCGGGGAGCTAATGCCCCATGCTGGGAACTGTGAGCAGTGAGAGACCCAAGTAACAGACAGGTTCTTGATGCTTCTCCCCAGCACATTGCTCTGAGGTGCAGCCGTTTTATGAGGCCTCCCTAGAAGCTCTAGCATGTGGTCCGGTGATGCTTTCTGTTTCATGGGCTGCCACGGCCAGCTCTGTCATATTCCGATTTGTTGGTTTTTACTACTTTTTGTTTGTTTGTTTTTGAGACGAAGTCTTGCTCTGTTGCCTAGGCTAGAGTGCCGTGGCGCGATCTTGGCTCACTGCAACCTCCGCCTCCTGGGTTCAAGCAATTCTCCTACCTCAGCCTTCCAAGTAGCTGGGATTACAGGCACGCACCACCACGCCTGGCTAATTTTTTCGTATTTTTAGTAGAGACGGCATTTCATCATGTTGCTCAGCCTGGTCTTGAACGAACTCCTGACCTCAAATAATCCACCCATCCCAGTCTCCCAAAGTGCTGGGATTACAGGCATGAGCCACCACACCCGGCCCATTTTCACTATTTCTCTACCTCACTTCCTCTTTCTCTCACACTTCATAAGGTTTTATCATGTGAGTGCTGCCTTTTTTTTTTTTTTTTTTTTTGGAAAATGGGTAATGATAGAGGACTGGGCATGGCGGCTCAGGTCTGTAATCCCAGCACTTTGGGAGGCCAAGGTGGGCAGATCACTTGAGGTCAGGAGTTCGAGGCCAGCCTGGCCAACATGACGAAATGCCTTCTCTACTAAAAACAACAACAACAAAACCAGATTCTGGCGATCTTGCTGGCCCTGTCTAGTGAGGGTTTGCCATATTCATAATGCTGGATTTCTTGTTCTGAGTGTCTTAGAACAAACTCATACTCCTCATAAATATTTGGATAGTAGAATCGTGAGAGCACGGAGTCAAACAGACCACGCTTCAAAGCCTAGCCCCATCGCTCACTAGCTCTGTAAAGTTCTCTAAGAAGACTTGACTTCTCCATGCCTTAGTTTCTTCTTCCATGAGATGAAGATAATAATCAAACGTACTCGAGTCAGTGGTGATGAAACTAAATGAGATGGTATACATGGGTTACTTAGCATATTGCTGGACACACAGGATGAGCTGGCAAGGATGCTTTTGTTGTAATGGTTAGGAAAGCTGAAGAACAGGAGGCTTGTGGGTGGGTGCCCTGGGAACAGCGACTGCAGAGAGGGACTGCAGGACTCAGGCGTGAGGGAGGGGCACAACAGCGGCGGCTGAGGCCAGTCTGGAAGATTTCCCAGACTATATTCTCAGCGTGGGGATGGGGAATGACATGAACAATAATCCGGGTCTCCTCTGGAACCCATTTCATTGGCAAGGCTGCATAGACCCACTCAGCCACCCACGCTGACCTCAGCCCGGAGCAGATCCACCTCCCATCCCTGAACACTATTTCCACCGCTGCTCTCGTCCCCATTTCATCCTCAGAAATGACAGGCTTCTTGCCTGGCTTGTTTTCACTGCAGCCTTGGTATTGGAGGCTAAAGGCATGATTTGGCAGAAGGTAAAGCCCAGGGCAACCTAGGACAGAGGCTCTTGCTGCCCCCAGCCTCAGCAGCCTGCAGACACTTCTGATGCCACCTTGGATGTCAAGACTACAAGGTCATTGTCACATGTACATGGCAGTGCTCTGGCTTGAGCCCCGTGTTTATTTTTATTGCTCTGCTGCTACTGGTGGTAACACACTACCAGTGGGGAAGGGTGGGAGGGAGAAGGGAAGGGGTTTCTACCCAATGCCCATTTTCCTGTGTCTTTACTGTTGCCCCACATCTGGAGCTGAGCATTTGGGTTTGAGGGAACCAAAGCAGGCTGCAGAATGTGCTGCTACTGGTCACAGACAGGCTTAAGGGAGGACTTTATTTCATTCAGTTTCTTTATTTTTTATGATGGGGGAGCATGCACATGGGAAGAACCAGAGAGAGGTGAAAACTGGTAGAGCAAAGAACCGGAACAAACAAGGGGGAGGTTGAAGGCACCGGAATCCAGGGCACAGGGGAAGAGATTCTGGCCTCTAGAGAGATGGCACACCTTGCTCTCTGGCACTGGTGGGGAGGATGTGAGGGCTGGCAGACCTAAGTACTTTTGTAGGAGGGAGGCTGGAAGTTGAGGATTCATGCCAGATGGTCTCAATTTTCTTTTTTTTCTTTTTTGAGACAGAGTCTCACTTTGTTACCCAGGCTGGAGTGCAGTGGAATCGCCTTGGCTCACTGCAACCTCCTCCTCCCAGATTCAAGTGATTCTCCTGCCCCAGCCTCCTGAATAGCTGGGATTACAGGCATGCGTCACCATGCCGGCTGATTTTGTATTTTTTTAGTAGAGACGGGGTTTCTCCATGTCGGTCAGGCTGGTCTCGAACTCCTGACTTCAGATGATCTGCCTGCCTAGGTCTCCCAAAGTGCTGGGATTACAGGCGTGAGCCACCGCACCTGGCCAGGTTGGTCTCAAGTTTTTCTGGGAAGTAGGAGGCAAAACTGTCTTCTGAGAGGGTACTTGAAGTAAGGATGGAAATTAGGAGTAGCGGGGGAGGTCTAGAATAGCCATCATGGGGACGGGAAAGGAGACTTCCTAGAGGCAGGTCAAAGGATTGCACAGATGCACTGAGGAATGTGAATTTACAATTTATCCCTGAGCAGCAATAAGCAGTATAGACCTGGGGTCCAAAAAGGCAGATGATGGGATTAACCCCAGGATTGCTACCTATGGATGAGACCTACAGACAGCATCTTGACCCATGCTTGGGGTCTAAATAGTTATTAAGCCCAAACCTTTCTAATTCAACTCCTGGGAACAGTCAGAAGGTAAGTGGCTCAGTCAGAAGGTAAGTGGCTCAGACTATCAGGCCATCCCACCCCTGTGTGCCATTTTATCTTCCTCCCCTCCTAGGGTCAAGTGACTGGTCTTGCGGGCAGCTCAGATGCTGTGGGAGCAGAGGGCCAGGTAGGTAACCCCTGCCTTTCTGGCATGATCTGTCCCCAGGGGCCACACACAGAATGGGGGCCCTGATTGCCTGAGTTTATGGCCTCTTTAAACACCAGGCTCGTAGTCCTTCATGCAGCTGGGCCCAGAGCTCAGCCAATCAATCAAAAGCTGGCCATGAGATGACACTGTGCTTCCTCTCCAACACATGGACAAGGTGAACCTGCCTGGTGCCAAGGCCAGTTTTATTAATGGGAGCTTGTTCTCAGAGGTCTTATTAATTGATAGACACCCAAATGTACCTGTGTTTCCACAAATCAGTTGTTTCGCAAAAGTTCCCCTGTTGATAGAAAAAGCTAGGGAACGGGGTGACTTGGAAATGTGTCTCCTGGCAGATGGCAGATGGCAGATGATTTATTGGTAGAAAAACCAAAGTGGGGTCATTTACTGTCCTTATATAAAATAGTTTCATGCTTGAGACTGACCTACCTTTCCAAGATCCTGTGAGTTTATAGATGTCAACCAAGCAGCTCAACCTTCTAGGAGAGACATGAGCCACGTGAGCTCACTATGTTCTAACCCTCTTCCTTTTTTGCTGCTTTGAATTTTGCTTATCTCTTTGTTTTTAGGACAGGGTGTTACTCTGTTGCCCAGGCCAGAGTGCCGTGGTACAATCACATCTCACTGCAGCCTTGACCTCTCAGGCTCAAGCAATCCTCCCACCTCAGCCTCCAGAGTAGCTGGGACCACACCCAGCTAATTTTTAAAAATTATTTTTTTGTAGAGATGTTGGTCTTACTATGTTACCCAGGCTGGTCTTGAACTCCTGGGCTCAAGCCATCCTCCTGCCTCAGCCTCCCAAAGTGCTAGGATTTACAGGCGTGAGCCACCGCTCCCAGCTCCACTTATTTTAAAAGATAAAGGGTGAAAAATGCAAACCGAGGAAAACCCGCCTAGACTTCATCGTTTATCAACCATGCATCCCTTCCACTTTGGCAGTTGACACTTCAGCATTGTCCTAGAGTGAGCCTTGAAATGTTGCCATCTCGTGGTGGGAGAGAATAACTGCCTGTCTAGTCTGGCCATATTTGTTGAGATCTGCTCTGTATCACGCACTGTAGAGTAATTGCAGTCATAACTTTACATTCAGAATAAGGATCTGCCTATGCTGTGGGGGCCTCTCCCTGGGATTGATGGTGACTGCCATTCCAGACCCTCCACACCAACCGCCTTGTGAGAAGCCAGTACCCTCACTCCCCATTCTATTTGAGATTTTACCCAGAATCTTGGATGCTGAAAGGGGCTTGATGAAACAACGCTGCCTTAGGCTGCGTCATTCATTGCAGGTGCATCGAAAGGTGACCTTTTCCAGCTGGGGCAATTTCCCAGCCCTACACATCAGTGGTTCTCAGCCCTGGCTGCACATTGGAATCACCTGCAGGCTTTTAAAAACAGCGATGCCCAGGCCTCACCCACAAGAGACTGATTTAATAGGTCAGGGTGAGGCATTGGGATTTTTAAAGCTCTCCAGGTCAGGACTGAGAGATGTTATGAAATTTAGGATGGCTAAGACTTCACCATTGTTACTGCTATTATAACTGGGAAAATAACACCCCCAACATTCCTGCATGAGCACATGCACACCCCCCCACACACACACCTCTGCCCGGTCACCACATTGGGACAGAAATTGGAAAACAGCATGCATGGCCCATCCTCTAAAAACTCCATTTGTCTCTCACATTATAAGTAATACTTTCCAAGCTTCTGGGGCAGCAGGGGTCTTTGAGAAGCTCTACAATTTACCAGTAAAGGTATATGGCCAATAGGCCCCTTTTCTCATTCTTGGTCAGTCAAAGGGAGCACCATTTGAAACTAGGATGGAAGGAGAATTGAGCAAAGGAATACATTCTAGTCACCAAAGCAGTGTAAACTGAAACTCCAAGAAACAGCCTGGTAGAGCAAGGACAGTTTAAAAAAAAATTTTTTTTTTTTGTTTTCTTTTTAAGGGTAAAATCTACGCTACTTCTGGGAATTAATGTTTGTCAGGGGGAGAGTGTGTGCAGGTACTATCTGTTATTCCAGGAGCATTAGGAAGAATGAAGACGTCTCTTCCGTTCACTTTGGTAGGGACAACTTAAAGGGGAACAAGCATGAATCCCCACATCCACCACAGCTCGCCTGGCTCTGAGGGACGTGGAGAGCCCGGGTTCATCTTGGACCGGTTTGCTGAGCTACCAGGTGCCATTCTGAATGGAATACCTAAGACTTGGCTAAATAAACTCTCAGGGGGAGTTGGGTAGGGTGTGGGAGATCCTTGTGTGACAAACCAGTCCCTGTAGGTGGGAGGTAAACCTTCTCAAACACAGGAGAGGCTATATACCTGTCTTAGGGGACTTTTTGGTGCTACCACAGAATACCATAGACTGGGCAATTTATAGTGAACAGGAATTTATTTGGCTCATGGTTCTGGAGGCTGGGAAGTCCAAGATCAAGGCGCCACATCTGGAAGGCCTTCTTGCTGTGTCATAACATGGCAGACAGCATCACACAGGCCAGAGTGCACACACATGACAGGGAAGGAGGCTGACATCATCTTCTCATGAGGAACCCATTCCTGCGGTAATGAACCCAATCTCATGAAAACAGTGTCATTCCACTCATTGGGTAGAGCCCACATGGCCTCATCATCTCTTAGAGGTCCCACCTCTTAATACTGTTACACTGGGGATTAAGCATGATGCCCTTTGGGGGGACACGTTTGAACCACAGCAACACCCCAGAGGGGGAGGGTTTGAAGGAGGTTGCATCTCTGAAAGGAAAGTAGATATAAAGTCGAAAGAACAAGATTAAAAACTAAAGAGCACCACCTAAAGAGTCTCCGGTGAAACGTTTCATTCGTTGAATGCTTTTCGTTGCGAGCACAAGAAAAAATGGTATTGGTGGCCGTTTAAAATTTTCTCTTTTGTACATTGTGACTTTAATTTCCCCACCTTGAGTAAAGCTGGATATATTTATTCAGTTTCGTGTGGTTATGTTGTGAAGAGAGGAGAGGCACATCCGCTGCTTCGCGGTGCTCAGACACCACTGCAGAGGCTGCAGCAGAATGCTGAGGCCAGCTTGCCCAGTGATGACCCGAGCCAGGACCCACACAGAGCCCAGAGCTGCCAGAAGAGAAAAGAGCTCAGACGGATGGAGGCCAGGGAAAAACTCAGTTGCGGGAAGAGGAAGACAACCCCACCCCACCACCACCAAATACAGGAGCACGTGACCTTTAAGGAGGCAGGGAAAGCTGCCATTTAGGTTACAGCATAAATCCCTCCGTTGCTGAGATAAAGGTGTGGACCCTGAAAATTTAATACAGGTCTCAGTTAATTTAGAAAGTTTATCTTGCCACGGCGGAGGACACGTGCCTGAGACACAGCCTCAGGAGGTCCCGATGGCACGTGTCCAAGGTGGATAGAGCGCAGTTTGGTTTTATACATTTTAGGGAAACCTGAGACATCAATCAACATAGGTGGGGTGATCATTGGTTTGGTCAGGTCTGGAGAGGTAGGACAACTGGAAGCCAGGAAGGGGGCTTCCGGCTGGTAGGCAGGTAAGAAACGAATGGCTGCATTCTTCTGAGTTTCTGGTTCGTCTCTCCAAAGTGGCAATCAGATATGCATTTAGCTCAGTGACCAGAGGGGTGACATTGGATAGAATGGGAGGTAGGTTTGTCCCAAGCAGTTCCCAGCTTGACTTTTCCCTTGAGCTCAGTGATTTTTGGGGTTCAAGATGTTTTCCTTTCACAAAGGGGAAGGAGAAAGGGGGTTGACGGACAAGGCTGATCTACAGTTACGATTTTTAATTCATTTTGGGTGGCAGCAGGATATTCAAGCGGAGACTTTCCATAGATATGAAGACATATGTGATAAGGAGAAGGTGCAAATTTAAGACCAGTGGTAAGAAATAGAAAATGTAAACAGAATGGAAATTGCCCAGGTGTGACAGGTTTTGACATCATAGACCAAGTCCTAGCCCTTTATTTTACACTCGAGGAAACTGAGACCCAGACAGTGGCAAGAGCTACCGATATCCTGGAGGCAGCAGAGCCGCTCCCCCTGGCATCTATAGTTTGACTGTACTTCCCACTCCCAGCTCAGGTCTTGTTTCTGGTTTCTGTATGCCC